ATGTCCTTGTTTTGTTTTTTTAGTCCTCTAATTTCATTCGATAACTCATTAATATTTATTGGTATAACACGGAAAAAAAAATAATTATTATAAGTTCTATTTTAATTTTAAACAAAATATTTAATTTTCATACTTTTTTTTTAGAATATTATATATATATATATATATATATTTTTTTTTTGATAATATTACAAATAATTTTCTTCCGTTAAATCATTAAATCTGAAAGGAATATAATATTCCTACAATTGGAAACAAAATAAATATGTTATTTTTACCTTTTTAATTTCACTTTTAATAAATTTTAAAATTGGTCATACATTAATTTATTGTTATTTAAATAATAATAATAATAATAATAATAATAGTTCCCTTAACCTAAATTGTGTTTGAAAATAAATTAGACTAATAAAAAATTTCGAGTCGGGTAGGTTGGTGATTCGAGCAATCCGAAGAGAGTTCGTAATCCAATTTTAAACTTCATTGAAAATACACGAACTAAGTTTAGGTATTTTAAAATATAAAAATTAAAATATAATAAAGTTCAAAGCATATCGACTAAATAAAATAATTTAGATTTTGACGTGGGACAAAAAAAAAAAAAATATTGTATTCCTTCTGCCTCTTAAATTTTTTCAACAATATAAAGATGAGAATTTAAGAGAGTATTACTTAGATCGAGGTATCTTAATTAGGTTACCAAATTTATGATGTCTTTATTTATATATATATACACACACGATAAACATAAAAGAAGAAAAATGTCTCGAGCTCTATTTCAGTCCTTGTTCCTTATCGTTCTCCTCATTTTCAGTGGTAAGAATCTCTTTTAATCCAACTTAATCTTTTACGGTTTGAATTAGATTGATTTCAAATAACTAAAAATTTTATGGGTTGGTTCGAGAATTTCGAGATGAACACGACTCTTCACAATGGTATGATATTGTCCAATTTGAGTATAAGCTCTTATGGCTTTGCTTTAGGCTTCCCAAAAGACCTCATAGCAATGGAGATAGTATTCCTTGATTATATAAACCCATGATCATTCCCTAAATTAGCAGATGTGGGATTTTCATCATCCAATAGTCTCAACCCAATCCGACCCAACCCAACCTATAAATACCCGTCGACAAAACTGTATGTAATGTCCCACATTGGTTGGGGAGGAGAACAAAACACCCCTTATAAGGGCGTGGATAGTTCAGTTGAGAGAGGATAGATTGAAGATCTGAAGTATGATGTCTCACATTGGTTGGGGAGGAGAACAAAACACTTTTTGGGTGTGGAAACCTTCCTCTAACATACACGTTTTAAAGCCTTGAGGGGAAGCCCGAGAGGGAAAGCCCCAAGAGGACAATATCTGCGGTGGGTCTGGGTCCTTACATTCCCCTCAAGGGAAAGGGAAAGCCCAAGGAAGACAATATCTGCTTGCAGTGGGTCTCGGTCATTACATTCCCCTCACAAAGAGGACAATATCTGCTAGCGGTGGGCCTGGGTCGTTACATTCCCCTCAAGGGAAAGCCCAAGGAAGACAATATCTGCTAGCGGTGGGCCTGGGTCGTTACATTCCCCTTAAGGGAAAGTCCAAAGAAGACAATATTTGCTAGCGGTGGGCCTAAGTCGTTACATTGCAATATTAAAGTATTGATCTCGATGAGTCGTTCCAAATATTTGTTATGCATAATTAAAAATAAAAGTGTTGGATTATGTTGTAGGGGAAGAAATGATGGTTAAAAATGTGGGAGGACAAAGGCTTTGCCAGAGGCAGTTGCCAATGTTCAAGCCGGGAACCTGCCACCTCACTGCCAGACATATTGCAAGGAGAAAGTGGGAATCGAAGCTGACGGCGTTTGCGATGGTCCTCGTCATTGTCTTTGTACCTACCCTTGTCCAACTTGACCGTTCAATCGATCGTTATCACAGTTACCACAGTCTTTGGTGTCACGGTCATGCTTGTCCAAGACGTGTTGTCCATAGTCGCATGTCAGATATCTCGGTCATGCTTGTCTAGGACGTGTTGTCCATGACCTCATGCCCGTTTCAAACCCCTTTTACATACTTTCATCTTAGATAGGCCTTTACTATTGTTGGATCGGTATGACAACCCTGTGAATAGGGTTTTAACGATAAAAATATTTTAAGCGTTACAAACTTTTTAAAGATAGGTAGAAAATGATAATTGATGCAACAAAATAATTCAAGTCAAAACAATAAACACTTAAAACATGCAATAAATCACATAATAATTTTGAAATTAAACGTTAGAAAATGTGACACCGTAGTTTTACAGTGGTTCGGTCAAATTCGACGTACTCCACTCCCCAATCGTCTCTTGTAAATTTAAATAAAAAAAACTTTCTCGACTCTTTCCACGGATCAGAGCCCAACCGCAACACCGCTCTTTTTACGAGTTCAAGAGCAAACTCAATCCTTTCCATGGATCAAACCAGTATAAGTATCTGAATTTGGTAGGGACACACCACAACGATTTACAATTTGGAGCACTCACAACTATTTACTCACAATACAATAAAAATCCCTCTTAATAATAAGATAGAAATAAAATTGGAAGTCTGAAGAACAAACAATGAGTATGTTGTCTCGACTATAATATCTTCGTTTTAGCTCTGATCGAAGTGATTGGAAAGTCATTGAAATCGTTATTCTCAACCCTATACTGTGTACAGTAAAAATACTGAAAATTGTTAATAATTGAAAATAGGTTTTGTTTTCTTTAAAACATCCATTAATTAATTGATTAAGTTAATTAAAATGAGTTTAAGGGCAAAAAAGCCAACAACTATCTCATGTTATATCAATACGGGAGTGTATGATCGTTCACCAAAATTATGTCTACACTAGTCAGGATTAAAACGCTCAAAATGTACTATATGGGATATGACTAGTCGTCAATTCTTCCTACCCAAGTTATATACACTAGTCAGGGCTAAAACGCTCAAAATGTACTATATGGGATATGACTAGTCGTCAATTCTTCCTACCCAAGTTATATACTATAAAAGCTATTGTTGTTGCCTATTCGTTTTTAAACGTATAACATTATTTTCTTTCAATTTATTTTCAACGTATTTCCTTGCACACGTTTTTAAAGCATTTCTCTCAAACGTGATTCGATACTCGAACATACGCCTGTAAAATCCGAATTTCTCACGATTGACGTGTTCGTTACGTTAGAACAAGTGTCGCACAATCGCTGTCCCATCGATGTAAGAGTGCAACTTTGACACTGATAGGTACATGAACTTTATGACAATATTAAGAAAGCATATAAGGATTAAAATATAAAGATCAATATTTTAATTATATGGATATATAGATATAAATAAAATATTTTAATATATGAATCATTTAATTAATACTAAGTCAAATATTTTAATTTATATATTTTAAAAAACAGTTGGAAGCGCGTACGGATGGCGCGAGTGGTTGTGGTTTCAAAGCCAAGGCGCCGTCGCAGTGGCTTAACCCACGCCCACGGGCTTCAACCTGAATCCCCCAATGATTCTTTCACGGTCCACGAGACGCGTCGGTTGCACGTCGAAGACTAAGTATAACGGCCCCACGCGTCTTTGTCGTCTCCGTTTTACTTTTATTTAACATTTTTCTGACTTTTCTTGAGAGACTATTTTTTTATTATAAATATATTATTATTTTAATGAACTCATTTTATTGTTTTTATTTTAATATTTGAATTTATTAAAATTAGTTAAATAAACATGAAATACACTCATAGAATAATTTATTTTTGTAAAATTCGCCATGATAATAATTAATTTTAAGTTTTATTAAAAAGTAATAATGAATATATTTAAAAATTTAAAAGTATGAGAATTAAAATAGGTGGACGAAAATTTAATTTTAATTTTTTTATATTTTTTACAAAATTAAATTAATAAAAATATTTGGCCCTTGGTTGCCGATCATAGATATTGAAATCATTGAATTTGAACATTTCTTACAACAATGTCGAAAAAAATATCGAGCATGACTCAATTTTTTCGTGCGCACGTGCTTTAGACGGCCTAATTATGGTTTTCGATTTTAAGCCTGTATGTAAAGTGCTATAGGCTTATTTTCTTTGAAAGTCTCGGTTTCCTAAGGAAAAGTTATATTGAGAAGCCAAAATAAAATTTTTAATTAAAATAATAAAAATACTTCTACTGAACAAAAATACTTTCTAAATTCGTAAAAGTTTTAATTATACAAAAAAATATATATATATATATTTACCATTTTAGATAATATTTAGTTTCAAATAAACTTTAAACTTTTAAAATATTTTAAAAAATACCCTTAAATTTTTACATTTTCAATTTATCTTTATATTTTATTAAAAAAAATTCAAAACTACATACCATTAGTACATAAACGAAATTGTCAGTAACAAGAGAACTTAAATTTTTTTTAATTTAAAAATATAAATATTACTTCTAAAAAATTAATGCTTATTTTTAAAACAGAGAAAAAGTTGTTATTTTAAAAGTTTAAAAAGTATAAAAATTTTAAAGTTTAACTATTTAGTGAAAAGTTATCTATTTATAATCAAATAAATTATAAATATACGAAAAAAATAATAAATAAAAATAACAATAAATAGAAAAATATGATAATAAAATATCAAAAAAAAATATATATATATTTTAGTATTAAATATAAATATTATTTTTAATTATTTAGTAAAAAAAAAAGAAATTATTGAAAAGACCACCAGAATTTGGCTGCTCCAATCTGTGCTAGCACTGGCAGATATTAATGGGTCAAACTCAACTATTTTACGACCTTTCTTAATTAAAAAAAAAAAAGAAAAATTGAATAACTACCAATGAGTTTGACGCGGTTATTCCGCAAACCTTGAACCCTTATGTCAACGTCAACGGACCGTTACGCGCGTGTAATTCTCCTCTTACACGCACCTCATCCCTCCTTGTTTATTAAAGGCCACCACGCGGGGCCCCATCCGCAACACACACATTGCGGGAACAACCATCCATCCACTGCCACACAACTTGTCTCTTCTTAGATTCAAATTCCTCTGCCCCTCCCCCCTCCCTCCTCTGCTCTCTCATAATCATTGTCCCGACCCGACGCCTACGGCGAGGAGGAGATTTCATTTCCTCAATTCTTCCTATTTTTCTCCATTGATATGGGTCTCTTTTTCTCCAGGAACATCGCCAAGTTTCTCCTCTCTTCCTTCTTCTCTTCCCAGAAATTCCCTTCTCAGATCGAAAACGTCGTCTCTGTCGTCTCCGCTCGTACTGGACGTCATCGGCAGCGCTACAATCAAGAGTATCGCCTTGTTGTCGGGTATGTTTCTCCATTTCAGCCACTGATTTCGTTATTCTAGGGTTTGTTGTTCTTATAAGTTGAGGCTCTGATTTTTGCGATTTCTTCTTCTAGATGCATTCCTTATCGATATAAAGATGCTCTGAAATCGTTTTCGGTTGATAATATTGAAGTTCTTGGGATTAGTTCACAGAAAGGACAAGCGATGATGTTTCCGAAGGTATTGTTATATCGATTCTTGGCGTCGATTATTCCGATTCGCTCTTTTGTACCGATTGTTTGATGATTTTGAAATTTTAGGGCGGTTGGGAGAACGACGAATCGATGGAGACTGCGGCTTTGAGAGAGACATTGGAGGAAGCTGGTGTGGTTGGCAACATCGAAGTTAGTAATTCGAATTTCTAGGGTTTCCATTGTTGATTCTGTCGAAGAAATTTTTGTTCATCCAAATTCGAATTTAATTTCCCTTACAGAAAAGATTGGGCAAATGGTATTACAAGAGCAAGAACCAAGCGACGATGCATGAAGCCTACATGTTCCCGCTGCAGGTCACCAAACTACTGGAAAATTGGCCGGAGAAAGATTTCCGGAGGCGGGAATGGGTGAGTTCTGGCTTAAACTCTAACGAAAACCCTAAATGTTCTTCGTTCAAAACTAATTGAATTTCCATTGGAACTTGTAGATGAGCGTGGAGAAAGCCAGAGAGGTTTGCCCTCAATGGATGAAAGAGGCTTTAGATTTATTGATTAGTCAACGAACAGAACTTGAGAGCTTGGATGAAGAAGGAACCCCCTGTTCATAAACGTAGTAGTAGTTGTAGTCTTAGTGGTGGTCTATTTCTTGGGAAGATCGGGGGATCGTTAAGCCATGTTTGAAACGACTTTTTAAGTGATTATTTTAGAAAGTCGTTCTAAATCCGTCGTCATTGAGGCATAAAAAAGGGTCGGGATCGAAGAAGGCGAGAAGTAATTGTGATTGCTTTGCTTGTTTAAGTGTCCTTCACGGGGATAATGCCGCGCGTGGAAATAGATCATCTTGTAAATCACCCAATTCTTTCATTCAATTTAAATCATTCTTTCTTATCATTTTTGCTTTTTCATTCCGTGGCTTGAACGTTGAATTGGGTCAGTTCGTAAGTTACCTACAAAATTGGCTTGAGTTGAACCGAATAAATCTGACTTATTGAATTCTACAATGCTCTATATTTACGACTTCTCGCAAACATCTCTAAGGATATGTGACAAATAATGATTAGAGGGTCGAGTGCATTGCGTTAGTGGCTTACTGGGCTTTTTCCTAGATCAAAGCGGTGTCTAATGCGATGCTGCTCGGTTAACAATTGAGCAATTAGGGTCAGGTCGAGTTGCTTTGCCCCTCTCCTATTTGAGTCGAACCCGAATCAAACCGCTCTTTCTCAAAGTTTCTCGCGCCAATGGAAACGGAATTGGAGGAAGAATATGCTCGAGCAATGATTGGGACGTGATTAGGAATCATAGATGGTTAGGTCATTGTTGAGATAAGGATATTTATTATGCTATTAACACCAGCGAATCACTAAAGATATTTATTATGCTCATGCAAGACCAGCGAAGGCGATGGTGACGTGCTGTCTTGCCTAATATGCAGCAAAGCCGCTGGGTTTCCAAAATTAATGAATGAAGTGGTGTTTTGCAGTATACTTGTCCATTCCATATTTCGACCGATACAAAATTTGGGTCGGTGATCCAACCAAATATAAATTGTGAGATCCCTTATCGGTAGAAGAAGGGAACAAAACATTATTCATAAAGGTACGAGAGCCTCACTCTAACATACCTGTTTTAAAATCGTGAAGCTAAAGACGATACATAAGCGGTCAAAGCAGATAATATTGACTAGCGGTGGTTACAAATGGTATTAGAGCCAGATATCGAACGTGTGCCAGTGAGGATGTTGGCTTCCAAGGGGTGAATTGTGAGATCTCACATTTATCAGAAAGAGTAACATTTCTGGTAACGGTGTGGAAACGATGCCGATGGCAATATAAGAAATAATTAGTTAAAAAATTATATATATTCACAGTAAAATGTTATATTAATAATTAAAATATTATAAAATTTAAATATTAAACTTTTACTGGTTACAACTCAATTTAATATTGCTACAAACATTGAATATTTTTAATTTTTTTTTTCAAAATAAGGTAGGATTAGGTGGAGCTGTAATTCTATTTTCAGGTTAGTCAGATTGACGGGAATATTTTTAATTTTTTTTTCAAAGTATGGTAAGATTAGATTGAGCTGTAATTCTATTTTCAGGTTAGTCAGATTGACGGGAATATTTTTAATTTTTTTTTTCCAAAGTACGGTAAGATTAGGTTGAACTGTAATTCTATTTTCAGGTTAGTCAGATTGACCCGAAGAAAAAATGTCAATACTCAACTCAAATTGAATTTTTGTCTCTTCATAAATTCAACCCAATCCCCCCAAAAAAAACAAACAAACAAACTCAATCCAACTTTTGTTTATCGAGCTATATGAATAAAATTTTATTTCATTTTGGTTTTTTATATTTTCAAATGAATAAATTTTAATTTTAGTCGTTCAAAATATATAAAATCAAAATTTAGGTAACATTTTGCTCGGACCGTACAAAACTAGAAAGAGTCGAATACGGTTGCAAATGGGTAACAAACACGAGTGCATGGTGTCACAATCACACTCTAGCGGCAGCAAAACAACGATTGTGAGACACTTATTATAACCCAATAAACAAGCCAGCCGTGTGAAATTCACATTTTGCAAACAACATCGACGTATGCTTAAGTCCCGAGTCATGTTTTAGAAAACGCGAGCAAGGAAGTACGTTAAACATAATTTTTAAGAAAGCAATATTATAACCTAAAAGTGAGTAGGCAACGAAACAACTTTGATAGCATATAATCGGATAAAAAGAATTGACAACTAGTCACATCCCACTATAGTACATTTCCAGGCATATTAACCTTACGGGTATAAACATGATTTTGGTAACGGGTCATACACCTCCGTATTGACATAACAACAATAATAAAAACTTATCTAAAATGAAAGCAAGTAAAACGGGTTTGAAACAGGCGTACGACCATTGACAACACGTCTTGGACAACCATGACCAAACATCTGACATGTGGCCATAAACACTACGCCTTTGACAAACATGACCGTGACACATGGTTAGTCGGTATGTGCGTATATATATATATATATATTTTTTTGGAGTTATGTTTATTGTTATTTATTTATTTATTTATTATTAGTAATTTCTAGTATATCCCTGTTTTTATTAATACAAAAACCCTGAATCCTGATCATCCTCCTCGTGAAGGCCTGCGCTCCACCTCGAGCAACAATGGCACTTATTTGCAGTCCCTGCAGTGCCAAGCTTAACCCAAAACCTAAGATTCGACTACTTTCTCTATCGGCAATTCCTAACGTCTTGAATTTTCGCAGTCCGCCTTCTATCAGCTTTTGTTCCAGCTTGAACTATTCTGAATTTTCCCGCGTGGTTCGACCGCTTAGGGGAACGGATTTTCAAACCAGACGTCGGTTAAAGTCTGTATACTGTGGTGCAGCAGCAACAGGTGCCGCCGCAACTGATCACTATTCGACGTTGAATGTTAGCCGGAATGCCACATTACAGGAAATAAAAGTCTCATATAAGAAACTCGCTCGCAAGGTATTTTTCCGTTTTGAATTCTGCTAATAGTATATTCTTGAGTTCTACGGGGCTTATTGGTCCCCTATGAAGCGAATTGGAGGGTTGAAAATCGAATGGAATTGAACTGTGGGAGGGATAATGAAAAACTAGATGAAATTTCAAGCGCTACGTATATGATATATGTTTTGCAATTTCCACCCTAAACCCTTAGAGCGAGAGAGAGATAAATTGAGGCATAATAAGTTCTTGTTGAAATTTATGAAACTTTAAGAATTCAGCTGTTGGGACGCTGGGTAGTATTTTTAAGAAGTCAGCTTTGGCCAAGGTTCTTAAGAATTAACTTCTACTTAGTAGAGATCGAAAAATGGCAAATGTTGCCTGCTGTAACTTCTCATCAGGACAAACATTTTAGGATCATAGGTTTGTAAGGCCTTGTATAATATTCATTTGGTTTTTGGTTTTGAAAAATTAAGCGTGTAAGTACCACTTCCTCTTATGGGGTTCTTTGCTTTGTTATTTACCTTTTACACGTGTTTAAGAACCAAAATCAAGTTTTAAAAACTACAAAAATGTAGTTTTTGAAATCTTTTTTTTGTTTTGGATTTTGGCTAAAAATTTAAATGTTCATTCAAGGGAGATTGAACGCACAGTAGAGAAATTGGGAGAACATAAGTTAAATTTTCAAAAACGAAAAACAAATAACCAAATGGTAATCAAATAGAGCCTAAACAAAGGTGATTCAGTTTGCAAGGATGCTACATAGTAAGTTATTCATTTTATTAAAGTACACTAGAAAGGTAATCGACTAAGAATGCTGTTATTTAATAGCAGGCTCCAAAAACCATGTTTAAGCTAACTGGCTGCAAGCTGATAGAGCTAAAATCTAACAGGCTGACCGAGCATTTATCAACTTAATTAAAAGAATTGTTTATTTGGTTTTCGTAAGAATAAAAGGAAAGGCATTAGAGATTCTTTAGGCACACAAATAATATTATAAAGACTGGGAAAGGCTTTTTTGGGATAAGAGACAGAAATTCCATTACAGAAAGCGGGAGATACAACCAGGCAAGAAGTTAAGACATCTCCTTCTAGCCAATCAGAAGGGGTGATTTGAAAAAGGCCCCCATCCAAATTTATTACTAAATTATGTAGTTAAAGTTTGACAGGGAGGAATTAAAGAACCGTACATTCTTCCAAAATCTCACTAAATTTTCTGTTGGCAATTATGCTGTTTCCATTTATTTAAATCATCCACAAAATATTTCTGAATCTTTTATCCAAAGAACTTTAGCCTTTCCTTTAAGCCACTACGCCAATGGTTAGAACTCTGGCTGTAGGGCATGGGCATTTACTTTGTATTTGATAGTCTAGATGAGCTTTACTGCACAATGTCCTAAATGATTCCCCCCTTCTTTGTTTTTATTCTGAACAGTACCATCCCGATGTGAACAAGAACCCTGGATCAGAAGAGAAATTCAAAGAGATAAGTGCTGCATATGAGGTGAGAACTGAGGCTCCTATTTGAGCATTTGTTCCTTGTGTTATTGTGTACATTTCATATTTTCTAATCATTTTATGGATCCTCTAATTGATATCTCATCTTTCATCACGTTCGTCACACTCCTTCTTGATATTAAGAAGATTGATATTTAGTTTCTGATATTAAACTCTCCAAGAGTCTTTTTTGAATTCAACGATGAAAAGAGGGGAGGTCCAGTCGGCCATATTTGTACAAAAATTAACCAACCAATTCCCAAAGCTAACTAACCATGACCAATTAATTGATTGGCTGGTAGTTTAACAAGGTAGGTGTTGGGGCCAATCTTGTCCTCAATAGGGAAAGGACCAATCTTTAATTTAGAATGAACTCCAGCGGTAAGTAAGACTTTTTTAAATGCACCATGACAAGGTCACAAATGTTGAAATCCACATCACGCTGATGTGCATATGCTCGAGCCTTATAGGAAGTGTTAGCCTCCTCAAGATGGAAACAAAGCTCTTTATGTAAATATTCAACCCGGTCAACCATGAGCTCAACCTCAACGCTAAGATCAATAGAAGAGGGGAAATTAGTAAGACCAAAAGTTAAATGAGGGATGCGAGTGTGTACAATCTCGACTAGAGACTTCCCTATGGGTTGTTGGCCATGTGGTTGAAAGAAAATTCGACTTGCCCAAGAGAAGGATCCCATTGTCATGGTTCATCACCACTTAAGCAATGCAATAGGTTGCCAAGAGTTCTATTAATGATCTCATTTTGTCCATTCGCTTTTAGGTGACTACGGTGTTACAAAGAAGGTCCGTTACAAATCTATTCCAATGAGATTGCAAAAAATAACTCACGAACTTGACATCTCTATCCTGAACAATAGTCTTAGGAATTCCATGAAGTCTAACAATCTCATGCAAAACAAGTTAGTAAAATTCAAGGCATCATTAGTCTTTTAACAAACAATAAAATGAGCTATCTTGCTAAAACAATCAACCACAACTAAAATCGAGTCGAAGCCACATTGAGATCTAGGTAAACCAAGTACAATGTCCATTGAAAGTTCAATGTGTATGGAATTAGGAACTGTTAGAGGGGAGTAAATTCGTGGATTTTGGCTTGAATCCCTTGAAGTTTGGCAATTAAAACAACTTTTAACAAAGTCGCAACATCTTTTTTAATTTGTGGTCAAAACAACTTAGTAGAAAGGGTGGCGAGAGTTTTATCACGACTGAAACGATCGGCCCAGAACAAATGAGATTCATGTAAAGAAGTTTGATGAAAACAAACACATCACCTTTTGTTGCAAGAGTAATGTATATTACTCAATTTATTATTATTTATTAGGGAAGTACATAGGCCTAAGCTAATTCTCCATAGAATAGGAAAAGAATAATACAAAAAAGGAAACTATACAGAAAAGGAAACAATAGAAAATAGGCTAATTCCCTTATTTAATAGGATTACACATATACTTCTCAAATTATGGTTATTCTTTCGACATTCTCCCTCGCGATGAAAAATACAGATCATTCATTCCCAACTTGGATACTAACTCATGAAATAGTAAGATGTGAAGTCTTTTTGTTAGAACATCTACAAGTTGAAGCTGTGAGGCACATAACTCATGTATACTATCCTCTTCTCTAATTTTTCTTTAATAAAATGCCGAGCGACTTTAATATGCTTTGTCTTATTATGTTGGATAGGATTATGAGCAATATTGATGTCTGATTTGTTGTTGTTGTATAACTTTATCGAATATTTTCTCTTAATCTGTAAGTCATAAAAAATTATCTTAAACCATAAGAGCTCACATAATCCTTGTGCAATAGCTCGAAATTGTGATTCGACATATGTTCTAGCCACCACATTTTGCTTTTTACTCATTTATGCCACCAAATTTCCTCTCTGAGAAAAGTGCAATACCCCGTAGTAGACCTTTTGTCCACTATTAATCCGATGTAGTTGGCGTTGGAGTAAGCTTATAATGCTAGTGAATTATTCCGTTTGAGCTAAATTTCTTTTCCTAAAGTTCCTTTAAGGTAATGTAACACTCTATTGCTTGAAGGTTAGGCTCCCATAGGTCATGCAGAAATTGGTTAATAACGCTCTCTGAGTATGCTATGTCCCATCTAGTGTGAGCTAGATATCCAAGCCTCCCCCTTAGCTTCTGTTACATCTCTCTATTCACCGCAAGTTCTTCTTTTAACTCTCCCAATTTCTGAAGTGGATCCATTGGCATTGATACAGGTTTACATATGTTTTTCCCTATTTCCATCAATAAATTCATCACATATTTCTGTTGTGATATGAAAATTTCCTGAGTTGAGTGTACTACTTAATGCCATTAAAGTATTTTAGGCTTCCAAGTTCTTTGATCTCGAATTCTCTTGTCAATTTCCTCATAACATTTTTTCTTCACTATCTCCAATGACTATGATGTCATTCATCTACATAAACTAGAAGCACTGTAACTCCCCTTGATTCTGAGCGTTTGATAAAGAGAATGATTTCCTTGACTTTGCTTATACCTACCATCCTTTGTCAATCTTTCAAACTACGCCCTTGGTGATTGTTTTAGCCCATACATTGCTTTTCTCAGTATGCACACCTTACTTCTCGAGCTCTTTTTAACTCTGAGGGATGCTCATGTAGATTTGTTCATCATACCGACCAATTTAAGTTGACAACCAAAGATAACAATATTCTTATGGTATTCATCTTTGCAATTGGGAAAAACATCTCCTGGTAATCTTAATAATCTTTCAAGAGAAATATAGTTTGATAGAGAGTTATAAAGGTTGTTTTATGCATTCTCTAGTATGTTTTTGGATAGCTATGGGATCTATCATCTATTGGTTCATTTAGAGTTCCAGTTTGTACCTGTGTTAGCATCTCACTTTGTGTCAGATGTTTGGACTTGAATTGATTTTGAAATGACTTTCCTCCTAGCATATGTACTTGAGAGATGAATCTGATAGTGAAGGTAGATTGGATGATTCAGTAAGTGGCTCTATTATGATTGGATCTTGGCTAGGTAAGTTGTGATTGGCATTGGTAGTAGGAGTGGACTGAATAGTTGTTGGGTCTGTCTCCAAGGGTTCAACTAGTATGTCAAGGTGTTCAATTGCTTCCCTCGGGCACTCTTCAATCACTTACGTTCTCCCCCTAAAGAGAGACTTTAGAGAAGAAAGGTTTATGCTTAGGGACTGTCACGTCCATTGAGATGTAATACTTCCTAGATATTGGATCGTAACATTTGTAAATGTGTTTTCTCTTTCTTTTTTTCTTTTCCTTAAAGAGGTATAGTTGCTCCTTCCTGGTATGTAAATGTGTAAGAATGTTTTTTTCAACTCATTTTAGTTAATTGAAAGAAAAAATGCAACTCATTTTCTTCAGTATCTAATAGTGATCCACTGCTACGCATTTTGTTTCTTTGCAATCTATGATAATGGAGCAGTTGTATAGGTCCTATCAGACGATGAGAAAAGATCTTTATATGATCAGTTCGGTGAGGCAGGTTTGCAGGGAGAATATGACGTCAGGAGCAGTGGTTCACCTGGGGTAAGATTATTGCTTGCACTTAGCCCACAGGCCATCTGAAAAATTTATTGTCAAATTGTTTCGATTAATTTTTCTGTTGAATGATTCTTAATCATTTTGTTTATGGATTTTTTTTTAGGTCGACCCCTTTGAAATTTTTGATGCATTCTTTGGCGGATCAGATGGACTTTATGGAGAAAGAGATGGAATTGGAGGCATCAATTTAAATAAGAGGAGCGGAAGAAACCAAAATCTTGATATTCAGTATGTCATCATTCTCATGTTATATCACTACTGGAACTAGTTAGTTGTATATTTAATCATTTATTTATATTCTTAAACTCCACCTTAACTAAGGGCTTGAAAATTATCGATATTACTTGGAGAGGAAATGACATTCTTGAAATTTGAACATAGGACCTTCTACTCTGATATTATTTTAAATTCTTGCTAGACCTAACAGCTTTAAATGATAGGTTACAAAATATTTATTCTTTAACACTTCCATTATTAGTTAGCATGAGACTCCGAAGGTATCTCTGCCAGTTGTATTCGACAATCAACAAAAGAATCCCAGGCCCATACAAAAGCTCCTAGCCAACAGTTTGAGAGGGCTGGAGCTTCTTCCTATGGCCCTACCTCCACCCAAATACGCCCTTCCTTGACATTCTAACTGGTTGATCCCAGTGGAATTTCCTTTCCTACCTTCCTAGCACATGTATTAACAATTGGGGGCCTCACAAAGACTTCTATCATTTACGAGGCAGAATTATACATTGAAAAAGCTTTTGGACAGTTGACTGTTGATCTATGCTCGCTCTTATCATGGTTTTCTCTCTGTTAGTTTATATTAGTTGTAAATATCTTAAAAGTGTAATCAGTAATGATTTAACTCACGAACGTTAGTTGTAAATATCTTAATTAAGTGTAATCAGTAATAATTTAACTCTCGAACTGATTGTGTACTCTCTCATATATGTATGTATTCGTAAATTATATGATATGTGCTTATAAATAGTCTGAGTCGTACATTCTTTTTTTGTATTTGTAACCTTACAGTTATGACCTGCACTTAAGCTTTGAAGAATCAGTGTTTGGAGGGGAGAAGGAAATTCAACTTTTTTGTTTTGAGGCGTGTGAAAACTGTGATGGAACGGGTGCTAAAACAAGTAATTGCATAAAAGTGTGCGCCAGTTGTCATGGAAAAGGAGGAGTTGTCCAAACTCAGAGAACACCATTTGGAATGATGTCTCAGGTAGTTGAACATCTATATAATGAAAATTGATGTTTTGGATTGAAAAAGAACGTCAAACTTAATATTTTTTTTCTCTAACACCCAAGTTAATTTATTTAGAGCTGAAGCTGATTACTTTTATGTTAAAACATTCTTTGTTGAACACGATCGTTTCTGTAATAAGTTGATATTAATATTATGTTTTCTAAAGAAAATATATTTAAATGAAATAATATCAAGGGGCAGAATCCTATGCCAAGGGAATTACTAAAAAACTATTATTATCACGTTTATTATTATTTATTGTATTTTAAATGAATGATGTTTTGTTTCAAAGACTTGGATAGTGATAGAAGGCACCGGTGTTTTTTTACGCCTTTTATAAAAAATAAGAATGGGATATAGAAGGGTAAGTGAAATTTTGTTTGGGGGGAGAATGAGAGTTTACGTGACCAGAAGATGTAAATATGCTGCAAGTAGAGCTGAGTGGTAAATAAGTTAAAGCCATGGTGGTCAGAAAATTGTCTTTTGCAATTTTTTAGATGCACGCAAACTAGCTTGAATACTCATGGATATTAATAAAATATCCCTCACAGATATACCAAAATATCCCTCATAGATATATCAAAAGAGAGTAAATATGATGCAAGTAGGAAGTGTATATATGAACATAGCAAAGTTAGGAGTTTAACCGAACTATCCATCTCTTATAGATATATAGAAAAGACAGTGCTGAAAGTATCTTATAAATATCACTTGTATATGAGTGAGAGGATAGACAATAGTTGTATCCCTTTGCCGAATCTTTTTTTTTTTTTTCTTTTGCTTCTTTTTCACTCTCCTTCCTTTCCATCTTCAACTGAATAGTGAGATATTTGGTTCTTTGATCTACATTTACTAATCAGAATAAAATTGCCAAGCTTCATATTGTTTTATACAATTGTTGACTTACTCTCCACTGCTCATTTGTTGATACTAGAGGTAATTCGTAGTCTTTTAAGACTGTGTTATTGAGTTTTCATATGATTGACACTGACCTAAGTTGGAAATTATTTTAAATGGTTACTATGAAATCATCAGTTAACGCAAAGGCATAAGTTGGTTGAATTGAGTACGTTTAATATTTTGTACATATTCTTCGCTTCCTCACTCATGGGTTTAGACTAAGCTTTAGCATGTGATTATCAATATTAACGTTACAGAGTTCAGATGCATGACCTCTCTCTCTAGTACTATGTCAGGATATATTTAATATTTTATACACATTATTACCGATTATAGTAGACGTTAGAAGAAAAATGACCAAAATCTGATTCTTAATTGTAATGCTTGAACTTAATAACCATGTAAAATTCCCCATTTTGGTTTCTTACAAATTTCATGTGATATAATGAATTTTGGATTTAGCCTACTAGATTTACCTTATGATCGTTGTTCTGTGACATCTTAGGTGTCTACTTGTTCAGAGTGTGGTGGAGATGGTAAGGTAATAACAGAGTTATGCCAAAGCTGTGGTGGCAGTGGTCAAATGAAATCATTTAGAAAAATGGATTTAGTAATCCCACCAGGCGTCAGTGATGGAGCTACAATGCGAATTCAAAGAGAGGGCAGTTTTGATAAGAAAAGGTAAATATATTCTTTCTCCAAAATTAAAGCTGCTGCTGGTTTGGACGAGTAATGATATTGTTCTAATAATCTAAACCCTTTTGTAAATATTCTCTCTCGATGGAGATCCATCTTGTAACTCAACAGCTCTTTTTTTTTTCTTTTTTCTTTTCTTGGAATGGATTTTAGGTTCTTATTAAAAATTTTGCTACAATGACGATGATAATTAATGATAATAATAAAAAATAAAAATTGTGCAACACTTATTCGAGCAATATGATTATTGTCACAATTTGATTATTTCCCAAGTACTATTAGGATAATGGTTAAGGATGAATTATGTTAGAGTGGAAGCAAGATGAGTCACACTCACACACCCACATATAAAACTAAATAAAGAGACACCAAGATTTATGTGGTTTGGAGAGAAGAAATTCTCCGTGGACCTACGTCCACGGACGACAGCCAATTACTATAACCAAAGTGTTTACAAATATATGTTTCACACTCTCACACTATAAAGTCTCACTTACAAAGTTCATCCCAATTGCCTCTAGACACAAAATGACACTCACTCTATGTTTCTTAACCATGCTAGACAAACCTTTATATAAGTATAGCAATACTAATGCTCATACATGAATCAAGATGATTCATGTACCAATATGGGAGATAGACCAAATAAATCTTATAGATTCTTGAATCAAAATGGGGAATGTACCAAAAGTATTTACGAACTCAAAAGATCCATGAACCAAATCTTCGTGACAATTCTTCCATTCTTGTCAAATTGACTCATTTTTTTCAGTAGGTTCTTCAAAATATCTGATTCACCCCAAATTCTTGATTCTTACAAATTCAAAAAATGTGTACATGAAAATAGTCAATTAAATCTCAAAACTAGTAATAGTAGACACTAAAAATAGCTGTGGTATGAACTCTTCACCATAGAGTCGTCCATATTGATAGCATTCCTAGTTTTGTTGTTGTAGTTTGGGACTGTGATGCCATATTAGACGAATTGAGGTTACAATTAATATGAGCACCACTCATGAAGATTCAAGTTATCAATCATCCTTGCAATATGAAATTTCAAGTGGGAGACTTTTGGCTTTCCTTTGAGAGGTGCAATTGTACGGGCAGTGTTCCTTCATTCCCAAATTCATTGAGAAACTTGCTCTTTGCTACTATGGTTCTTATGCTGGTATGGAGAGAATTTAAAAGAGGGCGTATTGTTAGTCTCTTACAAACTCCTAATTTGTTTGGTTGAATTTATTTAGATTTAGTTATCTAGTATCCAGAGATTATTATTTAAATTTCTGTTACCTAGTATCTAGGGTATTTAGATTATTTAGATTATCTAATAATTTAGATTTAGTTAGCCTTTCTCCCTTATAAAAGGGATATGTAATTGAATGGGAAAAAAAAAAGAAAGAAAAAGAAAGACACCATGCTAATTTAGACTTGCAACATGATCAACTAAAGCAGATTTTTAAAAACTTCCTTTGCCATGGTAGCAATGATATAGGGGTTCTCACCTCCTCAATTGAGATATTGTCGGGCCATCCATTGCTGAAGGTGGCTGGGTATTCTTAGGTTGAAGCAAAAGCCTCACGCCCAGCTATCCATATGGATTTGGCATTCTCATTAAAAAGGAGATCCTTGAAGAAGAATCATTGCTACAAAATATGGTACCTCTCACTTTGGTATCAAGCACAGGAAAAAATCAATTCGCTCTTCAGCTCATGGATATTCATTATGAAGCAAAAGGACCTCATTTATAGCCGATACTCTTGCAAAATCGGAAATGGTTCATCCAACTTGTTTTGTCAAATACTTGGGCTGGATTAAAACCTCTTTATATTTCTTATCCCATGCTTTATGTCTATCCAGTAAAAGGAAGCATCTATCTGGAAGACTTAAAATGACTGAAATGATTGTTGGGGCCTAGGCTTGAGAAGACACCCAAAAGAAGGAAAATAAATCTATGAATGGGCATTGCTATCCCACCTTATCAACCATTCACCCGTCTTAAGGGAAGACTTTTGGATTGGAAATAAAGGAACAAATGGCCTTCTCAACTAAAACTCTATCTATAGACCTTGCAACTAGCGGTTTCAAAGGCAATGCATCCATTTTTCTCTAAATTGGAAAAGGAACTCCCCAAAGAAGGTCAAAATCTTCATTTGGAAGCTTAGTCACTTGCATTAATACCGTGACAAGCTGCTATTCTAGAATCTCATGGTTTTTGATCTCCCATTGCTTGTGCGCCATGTGCAAAAATGCATGAAAAGTGAAAAGGCACCTGCTTATTACTTGTCCTTTTGCTAAGGCCTTCTGGGACCAATTTTTATCAAGTTCACTTGGTCTACTACTTTGCCCGGAGATCCACTTTCATTGATTGCCTCTCTTTTTTTGGTCATTTGTTTAAGGGGGAGAAAGAAATCCTTCGAACCAACTTCATCAGAACCATAGTCCAGTTGGTACTAGAGAAACAATCAGGGTTTTAAGGACAGAGATATGGTAATTAATTAATTAGTTAATTTTTTATTCATTAGGATGTTTGGCTTTATCATGATGTAAAATTATTCTTTAATTCCTTTGCGTGGGGTGTGTTTAACTCTTTATAACAAAGTTTTGTCAAACTTTATACTATTTGTCTCTTTTTCTAATGCCCTCTCAGGTGAGTTTGGAATTGGAGCCTTTGATGTGTAATTCCTTTTGGGAATGTAATGATGGTAGTAAGATTAATCATTCTGGGCAATGGAATTTAGCATCTCAAGCTCAAGGTGATAGAGGTTTTGGCATTGGAGCTCTTAAACGTAGAAATTTAGCACCTGTTGCTCAGTAGGGTAGCTTCATTCGTTTTGGCAAAGGGTGATTATTAATATCCTTGGACATTCTCCATCAGGTTGTTATTCTACTCTTTCTTTTAGCTTTCTCCCGTTATAGACAACAAGTTTTCTTAGGTGACATGCCCTATTTTTTTTTTTCATTTCTGGAGATGTCATTGGTGAATCGCTCAAATTGCTCAAGCTTTCAGTTTACAAATCTGATCTTGGTATGCTAGGAAGGAATGGGACGCATATTGGCCATAGTTGATAGGTTAGTACCATTTGTAAAGGGGGACCCACATGGAGACCCTTTGGTAATTCAGTGAACTTCACTTTGTTCTGCAAATCCTTCTTTACTTCCGTTCTCTTTCAGGAATTTATTTTCCTTACTGGTTATGTTCTTCTCTATCGTTTCTTGAGGTGCTGTCGACTGTAAAAATGAACCCCAGTTATCCAAGATATTCCTAAAAGAAAAATTAATTAATAAAGAAAATAAGGAATGCCAACTAGATGCTTTATGTGTTGCTACATAAGAGGTGGAGTGTTGTCTAGTATGAAATATGTTCTCTTTGCTGGTCTCTAAGTGGCTGGATCATCCTTGTCACTGGGATTCAAAACCGGTTCTAATCGAAGTCCCTTTTTATTCTCTCTGAAATTTAGTGTAGATTACTGTTCATCTCTGCCATACCTTATTTCATATTATTTAAAATAGTATTCCATTATATTTTATGTCCAAGGTTGTAATCTTGTGAAATCAGTTTCATAGTTTTTTCTGCTTTTTCTGTTCTTCTTTCCTCCTTTGGCAGGAGAATGGCTGGTAACCTGTATGTCACGCTCCGTGTAGATGAAAAGCATGGAATTCGGAGAGATGGTATTCATCTGTACTCCAATATTAGCATTGACTATACAGAGGCAATTTTAGGTACTATTGTGAAGGTAAGTTAAAATTATTGATTGGACCTAAAAAAGAGTCTGAATGCAATCATTAATTTTTTCTTCTCTATAATTTCTGGTTGGACATAAGAAAGAGTGTTAACTTAAAAGCATTGACTATATGGAAGTTTCGAACGACAACCATTCTGGTCATAGTCCTTACCATTGGTTTAATTTTAACAAATAGATAATGTGGTCTCAAGTAAGTATATAAATATATTAACATGAGTATGTACTTAAACCAAATATATTGGAGATGAGTATTAGGTAAGCAATTATTAGGTAATAAAATAGTATACTAAGCAATGGCTGATCCATAACTTGTCTCGAAGAACTTCATATATTTTGATATTAGTTTGTTTAATAAAAAATAGGAAAGACGTGTAGTTTTTTTTCCCTTAAAATTTAGAAATGGACATTTTAAAAAATGTGGAGACTAAAGTGGAATAAACTTGAATGTTCAGGATTAAAATGAAATTTGAATCTTGAATTTCTCTCTTTCTTCCTTGGTGTGTGTATGTTGATCCTTCTGAGAAGAACACTTGGCAAAATACCTAAAACTTTGCTGTATATTTTAGAGGACTGCAGTTGCTATCAACACAAATGAAAAAGTATCGAGTTATTTATCACCTATAACATCAAATTACTTCAGGTTGAAACTGTTGAAGGCTTGAAAGACCTTCGAATACCTGCTGGAGTTCAGCCAGGGGACAAAGTTAGCTTGTCAAGAATGGGGGTTCCAAATATAAATAAACCTTCTGTTCGTGGTGATCATCTGTTTATCGTGAATGTTCAGATTCCAACAAGCATCAGGTTCAGTGTTTTACCATTCTTGAGTTGTTAGTTTTTTATTGAACATGGTATTCCAATCTGAAGCTACCAACTGAAATCCTAGCTATTATATCAACATATTGATTTGAATCTTTGGCTAGAGGATGAGGGTTACGTGCTAGGAACTGAATCCCTACCCACCCAAAAAGAAGCCAACAGAGATGAAAAAGAGTAAAAGGAATGTGAGAAACACCATTGAACAGCTAAAAGCTCCATTCATAATTCCATGTTCTGTCATGCCACTTGAAATGCTTGTTTCCACTAAATTTAACGTAAAAGTTGTTGTGTTAGTTAAATGACCGAAGCAGTATGTTATGATTTTTAAAAAGGTTTTTAAAAGCCTCAAAAGGCATTCACGTAATGGCACACTGCCCTGGCATAGATGAAGTGTCTTGTGTGAACTTTTCATTTAGGTACAACATTCTTTTAGTAAACTGGGGTAAATTCAAATAATTTCTTTTTTAAAAAAGTACAAAAACAATCATGGGTTCATCTATTTCATTTGACCATATCACATGAGGTGCGCTCTCATGTGGAGGAGTATGGAAATGAAACTGAAGAGGAAGATATAGATGGCTATACATCCTAATGATGGGAAAATAGACTGGGGAGTTATTTAGTGATGTTGAGTTGTAAATTCTAAGCCTTTGCAATGTGATGTTCTGGACTCTTTGGTGTTGGAAGGTTCATAATACATGAACTTTGTTTGTGCACATAATCCTCTCTCGCTTTTTCTTTTCTTTTTTTTCTTTCTGCATTGTCGTTAGTCCTAGAGGGCTGTTGCATTTCAATACATTTCATTCTTATTGAGTTTTAAGGCCTTCCAAGGGATGTTATTTTGCTTTCTTCGTGGAAATCTGAAATAGTTTGCATCCATTTGGAGAATAATGTTATTCAAGAAAACTTCCATATTTACACGTCTAATATTGTATTGAGTTTCAATATTATACCTATTTTGAAAATAGTAATTTCAGATTTTTCTTTCGCGAGGAGCATCCAACTTATTCTAGTATGGTTATCCCGCATCAGTTGCATTTTTTTAAAAAATATTTTTTTTCGTGTGGTCGTCCATGATACATCATGAGGTAACATTGAGAAAAGATTAGATGTCCTATACTCATGGGAAGGTTAAGTATGGGCATGTCTAGATCATCAACCTATTTCACTTGGAATAATAGGATCTTTATTGAATATATGATAATATGATTTGAGATGCTCAAAATTTAAATGACCCAATCTATAGTCTTAACATTACTTCCTCACATTTTTAGATGGAGAGAATAGTTTTCTCATCATTTGATTCATTTAGGAAAGGCTTACTGATTTAAACTTCTTTTTTCCTGTTCTTCAGTATAGTAGACAAATTTTTATTACATCTTACGTACATTAGCGAATTGTTTTTAATATGTAATTTTTCAAGTTCGCTGAAAAATAATGTTGTTCTACAACTGACTCTCAACTCTGGATCTGTACTATTAGAGTAGTTTTCTTTTTTTTGTTTTTTTGGATAAGAAACGGTCGATATATTGATTCATTTTTTTTGAAGTATAAAGTCTAGCTAAATTTCTTGTTCATGGATCATTCATGCCTTCCTTAAACGGAAAGGTTATATTCAGTTGGATCCACATTGATTTGGTTTTCTCAGACTAAAATGTCATTGTAATCACTTGAGATGTTCACTGCTGAAAAGATATAGAATTGCTGTCAGATACATTTGTTCACTGATCCTCTTTCCTTTCTTCGGTTACAATTTATATAATTTGTTTTTTATTTTCATGTTATGGTAAATGCAGCGACAAAGAACGCGCAATCATTAAAGAACTGGCTTTGCACAAGGCATCTAGTAACGGTACTAGACCACTGGTTACCATTTTCATTTTTGTCGATTAGTTAAAACATTTTTAAAATCCTATTCAGTTTCTGATTTTCATAATCATTTTATTTTGGTCATACTTTCAAACATTCCATTAAGATTTTTGAATTTTGCGTGAAAGTTCTTTTTGGTTCTTGTTATAAAATTTGTATAATGTATTTCTCGTCATTAGAATTTTGTGATACATTTAATAGAAATCTTACAAGCCTGTCATATCAACTTGTGTTTTATGTCAAATAAATTGGATTGGTATCTGATTCAAAGTTTAAATACCCTATGATTTACATTGAAGGCAATATTAAAAAATTCAATGGCAAATATCAAAATAGATTCTTATGGAAGTTGAAAGAGCAAAAGAGGATATTTTGAAATATGTTCCAGTGATAGTAACTGAATTTCATGGAAATTTTCATGTGATGCAGGTACACACGAAAACCAAGGAAATCTTGCTTCAAGCCAGGCAGCTAAGCGTAAAGCACCATTTTGGTCTTCATTTAAGAACTTCGTTGGGTATTATTCAGTGAAGATCTTTCCTTTTTATTCTACTCTTTTATAAGATCAAGCATGCTTTTACTTTGATTTTGCTCAAGTTTCCGAGAACTGATCTGTGATGTCCCACATTGGTTGGGGAGGAGAACAAGCCACCACTTATAAGGGTGTGGAAACCTTCCCCTAGCAGACGCGTTTTAAAGTCTTGAGGGGAAACCCGTAAGGGAAAGTCCAAAGAGGACAATATCTGCTAGCGGTGGATCTGGGTCGTTACATGATCTAACAAAAAAAATTTAAAATTTTAGGTATTATGGATGTATAGAGATACTCATTTCTTTTTCTGATTCCTCTCAGCTTGAACTTATCTTCTAAGCCCTCATGAGTTGCTCCTCTTTTTTCCCAGTAAAAAACAGCCCCGGGAACGATTTGCTTCGATTGCCATGGCGATACCAAAACCGTCCTTTTGTAGGCCTTTGAAGGTGCATTCTTCTTACACAAACTCACTCATAGTAGCTTTAATACTAACTTCACTCTTCTCCTTCATCGGGAGAAATTACTTCTGGGCATTTTTACGAGGAAGATCCCATTCATCTCCTACTCTTGATAGTAGCTTTAATACTAACTTCACTCTTCTCCTTCATCGGGAGAAATTACTTCTGGGCATTTTTACGAGGAAGATCCCATTCATCTCCTACTGTTGGTGGAAGAACAAGAAGTTCTTAGATATATATTGACAGACCAAGAGGGGCAAGAGCAAGACCCTTGATTTCTTCTACCGTAGAACTTTAGTACACGAACTTTATTCAGGTGATTGAAGGGTTGCCACCTGAGTTCAATTTATTGTTATAATAGCCTGTAATCGCCGGTGGGGGTACCCCACGAGGGAGGGGCATTAGATATGGGCCTGCGCATTGCTCAGACGAGATATAAAGAAAATGGAAGTATTACCAGAAAAGCATTCATTTATGAGTTGCTATTAAAAACAATGAGGGATGTATTTTTTCCCCCCCTCCTTTTCAGATTGGCAAAATGAGGACTTGTAATATACAGAAAGCAAGGACTCTGAAGAGCTCGATTTTAAAGGAAGTTTACAAAAGAGTCCATTTTTTCACGTGTTCTGACGTGTATAGTATACATACATACATTTGGTAGTAAAATTATGTCTCTAAATTTTGCAAAAAATAAAAATAAAAAAAGAGTTATTGAACATTAAAATTTGTTTTACAAAAATACCATTAGAGATTTATTTATTTACTTATTAAATAATGAGAATTAATATGATAACTTAGGTAAAAGTTGAAATAAAAATTATAATATAATTTATGTACATTAATGTGATGGTTGATATTTAAAAGTTGACTATTTAATAATTTTATTAATGATTTTTTTTTTATGAAATAAATAGTTATAGTAATCTTAATCCTTTAAATAGTTTTAAAGATTATTATATATATTATATTCAATTTAATTATTAAGTTAACTTTTATTATTTATTTCAAGGAAAATACTTTTTTTTTTTTGAATAACTGTTTTAAAAGAACAATTAGAATAAAACCTTTTTCACCCATTTTTAAACAAATCATTTTTTCATGCTTAATTTAAAAAAAAAAAAAATCAGAGTGTTTTTAAAAATATTTCTTATCATTTTTTAAAAACATGTAAAAAAAGATATTATAATAATATTAAAGAATTAACTAAATTAATAAAAATAACTCCATTTTCAAAAGTTTCAATAATATTCTCAATTTCGAAAAAAATTGTTAGTATTTTATTTTTTAAAAAAATTTGAACTTAAAATATACCTTTAAATTTTTAAACGTATCATTAATACTCGTAAAAATTAAAGAATATTCTTACGGTTAATATTATGTTTTAAAAATATTTATAAAATTTGAAGAGTAACATCTAACCCCTCCACCTTTATAAAAAAGAATTCAAAAAATTATTATTGTCATTATACGAATCAAAATCATATATCAATATCTTATAGATTATTTTCAAACTTTTAACGTCTTTTTTTGGAAGTTTATGAATATTTTTATTAAACGTAGTACTATCTCGATCAATATATTTTAAAAACTGAAAGTATTTTCGAAACATCGCGAAAGTTTAAGATTTTTAAAATAAATGTACTAACAATAAATATATTTTTTATTCTTTTTTTTAACTTTAAGATCTTTAAAATAAATGTACTCACTGTAAATATATCTTTTATTATTTTATTTTTTAAGTTTAAAAGATACTTTTAAAACTTAAAAATTGTATTTTACAGATAAAGTATAAAGTTAAAATATATTTTTATTAATTTTTTTAATACACCAGCTTAATTCATTAAAAAAAAAAAAAAAAAAAAAAAAGAACACAGGGGACCAACATTTGAAATGAAGGATGTAGCAGTAGCAGTCCAACACAAGCTCTGTCTCGAGCTCTGTGCCACTCTGTACCTTTCTTCTTCTTCTTCTTCCTCCTCTCAACCCTACCAACCACGATATACATAACCCACTTCACCTCATCTCTTCCCCTTATCTGGGTTTTCTCTCCTCTCCCTCTCCATAGCCTCTCCCTAACATGCAGCCTCCCCACCTTCTGCTTCACCTTCTGCTCTGCCTTCTGCCCTCCCTTTGCCTCATTCCCGCCCTCAAACCAGATCTCACCTCCGACAAGGCTTCCCTTCTCGCTCTCCGTTCTTCCCTCGCCGGCCGAACCATCCAGCTCTGGAATGCAAGCCACCAAACCCCCTGTTCCTGGACTGGCGTCAAATGCCAGGGAAGCCGCGTTACTGTTCTTCGTTTGCCGGGTGCTTCCCTTTCCGGCCAAATTCCGACCGGCATTTTTAGAAATTTGACCCATCTTCGCACTTTGAGTCTCCGACTCAACGCATTGACGGGTCAGCTTCCGTCAGATCTTGCAGCATGCACTAATCTCCGCAGCCTCTACTTGCAGGGTAATGCATTTTCTGGCCCAATTCCTGAGTTTGTCTTCCAATTTCATGACCTTGTTCGTCTTAACTTGGCTTCCAATAACTTCTCCGGCGTCCTGTCTCCCCGTTTTGACAAACTCCGGCGGCTGAAGACTCTGTTTCTTGAGAACAATCGCCTTACTGGCTCATTACCGGAGCTGAAGCTGCCTAACCTCGTACAGTTCAATGTTTCCAACAATTTCTTTAATGGGTCGGTTCCTCGTCGTTTCCAATCGTTTCCCTTTACTGCTTTTATGGGTAATCCACTTTGTGGACGACCCTTTGAGAATTGCGCTCGAAATGTCATTGTTCCATTGACAGTGGATATTGATGTTAATGAGAACAAGAGAAGGAAGAAGTTGTCTGGGGCTGCGGTCGGAGGGATTGTGATGGGGTCTGTTCTGGGTTTGGTTTTGTTTTGTGTGATTTTGATGGTTTCTTGTCGGAGGCAGAGCGGTCGGAAAACAAGCACTCTGGACATGACAGCCCTTGTCGATGTAGGAGGAGAGAAGGCAATTAGTGAAGAGAATGGGGGGTATGAAAATGGGTGCTCTGTGGCGGCTACGGCGGCTACGGCGGCGCTAGAGAATAAGAAAGGGGAAGGGGATGACAACGTTGGTGGTGCTAAAAAGTTGGTGTTTTTTGGGAATGCTGGTGGGAGGGTGTTTGATTTGGAGGATCTGTTGAGGGCTTCAGCTGAAGTGTTGGGTAAGGGAACGTTTGGGACAGCTTATAAAGCTGTGTTGGAGATTGGGGCTGTTGTGGCTGTGAAGAGATTGAAGGATGTGAGTGTTTGTGAGAGGGAATTTAGGGAGAAAATTGAAGGCGTGGGAGTAATGGAACATGAGAATTTGGTTGCTCTTAAAGCTTATTATTACAGTGTTGATGAGAAGCTTTTGGTTTATGATTATATGGCTATGGGAAGCTTATCTACACTTTTGCATGGTAAGCTCTTTCTTTCTATTTTTAGAAATGTGAATGATTGTCTTGCTGCACAGATGTTTCCGGAACCTTATGAATGATGTTTTGTTCTCTCCTTTAACCGACGTGGGATCTCACAATCCATCCCCCTTCGTGATCCAATGGAGTTCTCGTAGGCACTCGTTCCCTTCTCCAATCGATGTGAAACCATCCAATTCACCTCCTTTGGGGCCCAACGTCCTTGCTGGCACACTATCTCGTGTCCACCCTCTTTGAGGCTTAGCCTCGCTCGCATATCGCCTTGTTTCCTTCTCCACTCGATGTGGATCCCCCAATCCCCACCTCCTTCCGGGCCTAGTGTCCTAACTGACACACTATCTCGTGTCCACCCGCTTTGAGGCTTAGCTTCCTCCCTAACACATCGTCTAGTGTCTAGCTTTTATACCATTTGTAACAGTCCAAGCCCACCCTTGGTAGATATTGTCATCTTTTGGGCTTCTTCTCAAGGTTTTTAAAATGTGTCTGTTAGGGAGAGGTTTACACACTCTTATAAAGGGTGTTTCGTTCTCTTTCCCAACGAATATGAGATCTTGCAATCCACCTCTCTTCAGAACCCAGCGTTCTTGAAGATACTTGTTCTCTTTTCCAATCAATGTGGAACCCCCAATGTGTTTCGTTCTCTTTCCCAACGAATATGAGATCTTGCAATCCACCTCTCTTCAGAACCCAGCGTTCTTGAAGATACTCGTCCTCTTTTCCAATCAATGTGGAACCCCCAATCCTCTCCCCTACGGGGCTTAGCCTCCTCGTTGGCACATAGCCTAGTGTCTAGCTCTGATACCATTTGTAACAGCCCAAGTTCACTGCTAGCCGATATTGTCCTTTTGGGCTTTCCCTTACAGGTTTCTCCTCAAGGTTTTTTAAAACATGTCTACTAGGGAGAGGTTTCAACACCCTTCTAAATAATGTTTCGTTCTCCTCCAATTGACGTTGGATCTCACAGTTATCTTCCTGGTTATAATTCCTCAAAGGCATTTTGGTAATCGAATCCGTTCAAAGTTTCTTCTTGTCAAGGAAAAGTGTTGCATTTTCGATGAACTTTAAAGCCTAAGTAGCATTAGGAAAGGTAAAACTTCACCTCATCTGCCCAACTTTCATTAGCCTTTTACCATTTTCTTTCCTTTCTATAGGTAACAAAGGAACTGGTAGGACACCATTGAACTGGGAAATGAGGCGTGCCATTGCATGTGGAGCAGCCCGTGGCATCAAGTACTTACATTCTCAAGGCCCAAACGTTTCTCATGGAAACATAAAGTCATCCAACATCTTGCTCGCCAAATCCTACGATGCCCGAGTCTCCGATTTCGGCCTAGCGCAACTAGTTGGCCCAGCATCGAGTCCTAACAGAGTGGTGGGGTATCGTGCACCAGAGGTGACAGATTCTCGTAAAGTATCACAAAAGGCAGATGTTTACAGCTTTGGCGTATTGCTGTTGGAGCTTTTGACAGGAAAGGCCCCGAGTCACGCAGTGTTAAACGAGGAAGGGGTGGATCTACCGAGATGGGTACAGTCAGTGTTGCAAGAGGAGTGGAGGTCGGAAGTCTTCGACGCCGAACTGCTGAGGTACGAGAGCGTTGAGGAGGAGATGGTTAAAATGTTGGAGCTGGCTGTGGACTGTGCGGCGCAGCATCCTGATAGACGGCCTTCAATGTATGAAGTGAGTAGCCGCATTGAGGAGTTGTGCAGCCCTTCCGCCCATTCGAATCCCCAGCAACACAAACACAACGTTGGTGCTGCTGACAAGCCCTTTGGTGCGTCCACCTCCCATATTCCGAATGCCAAGTCCATTTGAGCAAGTTTAGTTGGTTGTGTAATAGCTAATTGTCGTTGTAATTTGGTAGCATGTGGTGTTGTGTTGGGCTGTAGAGTGATGGCGGTGCTGATGCTTAACGTTTATTGTTATTAGTACAAACTACCCTTTTCTGTTTCCTTTCCTTAACTTGTTTGTCTACAAACTTCATGCTTTGGTTTGTTTCTTTTGGAAACTATCCCGTGCCCACTCACACCAACACCTGTTGATTAAAGATGTCTATTTAATCAACGAAAATTTACTTCAAAACGGATTAAAAATGGTCCAAAAACTTCTTCCTAGCAAGCAAGACGACCCACTTCATGAGAACTCAAGAAAAGGGAGCACTATGAGCCCCTCTGTCCCATGCATCGAGTTCATACCCCATGCATCTAGAGAACTCAAGAAAAGGGAGCACTATGAGCCCTCTACCCCATGCATCTAACCTACTCGCTACATATGTGGTAGTGGGCGTAGCACTCTACATGACCGACGGCAAATGAATTAGCAGCTTTATCGAGTGAAAGAGGGGGGTAAGTGAGGATATCGAGTGAAAGAGGGGGGGGGGGGGGGGGGG